CACGGGCACGGAGGCGGAAGATCCGGAAGCAGCGAGAAGGCGCGAAGAAATTGCCACCGGGAAGCAACAGCTGAAGTTCGCCGGCGGAGCCAGCCTGCACATCGGTAACGATCCAACCAGGGATCCGGAGCCGCCAAAGCCCGAAGATGGCGACCGTGCAGCCGCCACTTAGGTGCCGCGCGACAGAGACGGAGCCGATCCCCCTCCTCCTCCAGCCCCACCCGTCCCCCAGTTCGCCCACGTACCGATGCGGGCGATAGGCCTTCGTCCTCGGACGCTATCCCCCCCACCCCTTTATTTTCTCACCCTCAAACAGATCCGCACCCCCGTCACCTTCCCCCTCCATCCCTTCCTCCCCCATCTCTTCCGCGACTTCTACTCTACCCGCCTACTCACTACCGTCCACCCCCACGCATCCCTTCAGCCCGCTGCCCCCACGTTCTGCTGGCATATCCTGCTGTTCAGCGCTGTCTGGGAACGATGCAACGTGGTAGAAGTCTACTGTGTAGCCACGGGGATAATCCCCGCCTGTCGCCACTACGAGTTCTTTCGAGCGGCGCTTTTCCGCACCCTCTCCTCCTTCTATCGCGACTACCTCGCTTCCCTCCCTCGCAGCGGCGATCACTTCCCCCACTTCCACCGGATCATCCGATATGAGGAGCTTCCGGTAACGGTAGAAGGGATGAATCGTTACCTAMCCCCGCTTCCTCCCCGTCGTCCCCGTGAGATCCCCTCCATGTACCGCCTCTATTGGCCCATCCCAACTAGGAGGTAGATCCCGGTCGCATCACTATTCCCCCTTCCCCCTCCTCTCTCCATCTAATTGGCAGGGGAAAACAACACGAATCAGTAAGCTTCGCGAAGATCACGCCATCGACGATGACGTCAACCTACGCTCTGATTCGACGGGCGATGACAAACTGGGGTGCAGAGCACACGGAGAACCGGCGGACGATGATGGCGTCACCTGGATGACCATCGCGAATTCCGGCAGCACGAGCCAACGGAAGATTGCAATTGAAGTTGGCGTCAACATGGACTCTGGCCGGATCATTTGTCGATACGCTTGGTTCCTCATGCATGATCACTCTGTTCTCTCCCTCTCTCTCTCCTTCTCCGCCATGACATGCAATCAGGACATCGCATAATTTTGGAACCCCCTGCGCGTCACATATGTGACGAACCACTTCCCGAACCCGTGCTATCTTTCGTACCCTTTTTGTTTGTATCATACCAAACCCATAAAAACCCCGTTTCGTTTTCTTGATTTCGGGTGCCACGTTTTTTTTGGCTCCCATCTTTCGGAAGCTTTTACGATTCCCGGGTTCTGTTTTTTTCTTTTTGTAAGTCGGGAAATACATGGGAATTTATGAGCGCCTTAGCGAGCGCATTGGGAATTGGGCCCAGCAGTTGGAAATTCCGGGATAAGCGGAACTTCGACTTGTCGTTTTTGTGTGTAAATGTTCTCGGTCGCGTTGGGGAAAACTCTCGGAATTTTGTGCGAATACGAATAGGCGTAGGATTTTCTTTTCCCGCGTCGTTTTTTCGTGCACGGATATGGTGATTTCAATTTTGAATTAGGATAGAGGCAAGCTGTAACTGTTTGGGTGCCTTTTTCTCTCTTTTTGTTGACGGCACCGCCCATGCAAAAGCTTTCTCCTCTCTGTCCCCCGCATCGCTCCCTCCCGCGCTCCCTTCCCCTTCTCCCTCCTCTTTCTCTCTCCTCGTAACTGTTTTTTTCTCTCTCTCTTTCTCCCGCTTTGCTTTTTGCGCGCTCATTTCCCTTTCTTGATCCTCTGAATCTTGGACCCGCGCCTTTTCCCTTCTCACCCTCTGATCTAGCGCACGACGCCCGGTCGATCCTTCGATAACTCTCGCTCCCCAATCAGGTACGTGGATCAATAGGATCTTCCTATTGCGCGACGAATCTGATTGGTTGAACCTTGAGTCCCAAGGGATCAACATGGCTTCCACGGAGCGCTCCTCTCAAAGTCTTCTCCTCCTGCTTCTCCTCTTACAACCCAACCTTCCCTTCGCTTTCTTTCCCGTCTGTCTCCCCTGTCGCAACTATAAAATCCGCAAGCGCGTCCGCAATTCTCTCTTACGTTCTCGACTCCGAAGCCAGCTTCCGGGAAGCAGTGGCTAGGCAGAGTGTTTGATGCGAGTCGGAAAGTCCTGTCGGGCTGACGATAGGCTGATCGGTTGCGCGCTTGATCGCCACGACGGACTGTGGGATCYRGGCGAGCCGTGTCGAGTTTACGTCGGCGGGGTGACGATCGCAGTGGTGGGRGTTAGCACGCGACGGCCGGGACCGTYGGTGYAGGTATGGGGATTGATGATCGGAGTTGAGTGAGTGATTGGCCTGGGGCCATATTGGAATTCACGGCGAATGCGCCTTTGTGATTGCGAATCTTTGCCTCAGACGTGAGTGTGCGGCGGCAACGCCGAACTTTTCTCTCTCCGGACCTTGTCATCTTCTATCTTGACTTTCCTCCCTCGATTCTCTCTCTCTCTCTCTCTCTCTCTCTCTCTCTCTCTCTCTCTCTCTCTCTCTCTCTCTTCCTCTTCTTCACGTTTGAATGATAATGCGTCTGAATGATTGTCTCTCCCTTGAATGAGAATGATTCGGCATGCTGTTTCTGTGTGAAAGAACTTCTTCCGGAACTCTTCCATTAGTTTCCTGGGTAGTCCCCCTATGCAAGGACCCCGTCTTCTTGTCTTGTGAACGGTGGATGCGTGTGTATCGTTCAGCGACCCATCTTTTTGTCCCTGTGCATATCTCATTTTCGCACCTTCCACAGTGAATGTATGTATGGAGATGCGTGTCTTTTTGCGTTGATTAAATGATTGTCGTCGGGATTTTGTTCGAGAATGCAAGAGTGCTTAGATCTGTAGTTCTGAATGCACTGCGCATGCCATCTGCCTTATGCTGCACGACATCAGCCACCGAGCCACAGGGCGGCCCCGAAAAACAAGGCGCCTTGGATCAACGTCGCGTTGGCTCNCTCTCTCTCTCTCTCTCTCTCTCTCTCTCTCTCTCTCTCTCTCTCTCTCTCTCTCTCTCTCTCTCTCTTCTTCACGTTTGAATGATGATGCGTCTGAATAATTGTCTCTCCCTTGAATGAGAATGAGTCGGCATGTTGTTTCTGTGTGAAAGAACTTCTTCCGGAACTCTTCCATTAGTTTCCTGGGTAGTCCCGCTATGCAAGGACCCTGTCTTCTTGTCTTGTGAACGGTGGATGTGTGTGTATCGTTCAGCGACTCATCTTTGTGTCCCTGTGCATATCTCATTTTCGCACCTTCCACAGTGAATGTATGTATGGAGATGCGTGTCTTTTTGCGTTGATTAGACAATTGTCGTCGGGATTTTGTTCGGGAATGCAAGAGTGTTTAGATCTGTAGTTTTGAATGCACTTCGCATGCCATCTGCCTTATGCTGCACGACATCAGCCACTGAGCCACAGGGCGGCCCCGAAAAACAAGGCGCCTTGGGTTAATGTCGCGTTGGCTCACTAAACCTGAGTCGCGGGTCGGTCCTTTAGTTTTATGCATGATCAAGTTGATGAGTGTTTTCTCTCTCTCTCTCTCTCGTGTCGAAAAGGATTGATTGGGGGTTGCGCAAGTGTTTTCTTTTCTTGATGACGTCTCGAGATTTTTGCAATTGAGTGATATGTGGACCGATAAGCACCCTTCGACCGGGCGCCAGCCTCCCGTATCTCCCGTCTCAACACGGCCTTTTCCCTACAACGAGGAAAGGACACGTGTATGCGAGTGGGATGTACGAGAAGTTGTCGCACAAATCGGCGGACGATACTACTTCCCTCCAGCAAACCGTTGTTCAGGGTTCGTAGAGGCTGGGTTTGTCATTATCGATACGCACTTTCCACCTTACTCGATATTTGTTGTCATTCAACGAGTTGATCGTCATCCCGTGGACGACAGTAGAACCCCATTGGCCACGCACCCTATGCACAGAGTGCCAATGTTTTGATCGCTACGGAGCAAAGGGCTTCCACTACCGAGTACGGAGTGAAGACGAGCATAAGGAAAGGGCCACGCGGATGATACCATCCACGTCAGACTCAGAACTAACCAGCGAGCGACGACGGGATTTGATACGAAAACGAGACACGTGAAGCGTACCAAAGCCCTTCCGCTCTAAACGACGGGCCGTAGCACGGTGGGAAGCTCGACAATACTTTTTGGATTGAATTTGGATTTTTTTCTTTTCGCGCCGTGCCCGTGCGCGCATTCCGCGACGCGCGAAAGCAACCGACTAACTTCATCGGACCAACACGGGGGATTTCAGTTTCGTCTGTGTCACCACACTCAATTTCCAAAAATCCTTGGCACAACCCATCTTGCTGTTTTTCTGGGCCTCCTTCCGCACATCTAGCACTCCAAACGAAAGACAGCACAGGGCGTGAGGTTTGCGCCCTAGGGTAAGGGTAGGAGTATAAGTCGCTCAGGCCAGTCCGAGTTCCGCCTGGCCTTGGGTATGACGAACCACTTTCCGAACCCGTGCTATCTTTCGTACCCTTTTTGCTTGTATCATACCAACCCCATAAAAACCCCGTTTCGTTTTCTTGATTTCGGGTGGCTCCCATCTTTCGGAAGCTTTTACGATTCCCGGGTTCTGTTTTTTTCTTTTCGGGAGTCGGGAAATAGATGGGAAGTTGCTCACATGGTAGAGTTATTCGATTACATATTACAAGGTCATGGGTTCGAGCTTGGTTCGGACCTTGGGGGGGTCGTTGTCCAGCTTACCCCGTTCTCTCTTCAATATACACACATGATGTTTCCTTTACATCTCGATACATTGATTAACAGAGTTCACACAACCTTTGGGCATTTACATAACTTG